GATTGGACCCTCATTATTCACCTTAGACAAAAATTAACTCAAAAGGGATTTAAAGACATAAATATCTGAGACCATACATCATGGAAGACTTTGTAGAGTAAAAGCTCCTTGACCTTGGTCTCGGCAATGATATTTTGGATAAGAATCCGAAAGCACATACAACAAAAACTAAATTAAATAAGTGGGACTACATCAAACTAAAAAGCTTCTGCACAGAAAAGGGAAAATCTGAACAAAATGAAAACCCAGTCTACAGAATGGGAGTATAGAACCTACAAAATGCAAACCCTATATTTTACAAGGAGTTAATATCCTAAGTATGTAAGAAACCTCAAAACCTGATTTAAGGGAAAAGGACCTGAACAGATAATTCTCAAAAGAATACAAAGTGGTATAAGAAAAAATGTTCAACATCATTAACCATCTGATAAATGTAAGTCAAAACCACAATAAAATATTACCAAATACCTGTGAGGATGACTATTATCCAAAAAAAACCAAAATATAACTGTTTGCAAGAGTTTTCAGAAGAGAGCCCTCTATACCTTTGGTGGAAATGTAAGTTGGTAAAACCTTATGAAAATCAGCATTGCAGTACCACAAAAATTAAGAATAGGCCTTCCATAAGATCCCATATACTTCTGGGTATATATACAAATGAGATGAAATCACTATCTCAAAGAGATATGGTCATGCCCAATTTTATGGCAATATTATTCATAATAGCCAAAATAAGGAACAACCTAATTTTCCATTGATAGATGAAATGGATAAAGCTGATGTGCTATAAACACACACATACACATAAACACAAATATGAAATATTATTTTGCCATTGAAAAGAAGGAAATCTTGTCATTTGCAACACTATGGAAAAAACTGGAGGACATTATGCTAAGTGAAGTAAACCAGAGATAGGAAGACAAATAATGTCTGATCTCACCTAACCAGGTAATCTAATACAGTTGAACTCATAGAAACAGAGAGTAGAATGGTGATGCCAGGGGCTGGGGGACGAGGGAAATAAGAACAAATTGATCAGAGCCTGGGGAACTAAGGTACAGCATGAGTTAGTGATAGGTGTGTTAATTAATTTTTGTAGTAACCATGTATACATCTATTAAATCATCATGTCGTATACTTTGAATTCATGCAAGTTTTGTCAATGAAATATTTTTAAATAAAAAATTAAGTTAAAATTAATTAATGAAATGGCTTCCATTCATTTTGTGCTCCCACTGCTCTAGATCTCAAGCAATCAGTGCTGGGTTTCCAGAAAATGTTTCATAATGCAAGAAAACAGAAGCTCTTTCTGTGACACGAGTCAACAGAGACACTCCATCCCTGGTCCACACACTAGAGGTAGGCCACCCTCACGGTCACCCTCACAGCTTTCAGCTGGCCTGACTGCAGATGGAGAAAGGGGACTCTCATGGGCTTATCTTTCAAGTGTAAGGAATACAATTCCCCATTCAAAAATGGTTTATTTTTTTCCCCCAATCTTGTTTCTCCAGAACACCTTCTTCTAAAACAAAATCTTTCCATCAGAAGATAATTAACTCCTGGGAGAGAAAGCAGTAGCTACCGAACAAGATCCCTAAACGTTTATGGAAGCCTCTTTAAACATCCATGCCGTGCAAGATGAAAATGATTTTGTCGTCATCCACATCTCCAAGGCAAATCATGGGCGGAGGGACCCATTTATATCTGTTTCTGTCACACTTTCTATCTTTTGCACTGCAAGACTGGAGCCATATATAAAGAATCGATTTTTCAAAAGCTTTCAAGTAAATATAATTTAATTCAAATCCCAGGTTTTCTGGGAGAGGTTTTTAAGGCTTATTAGGCCAGATAAAAAGATTTCTACTTGTAAGAACACCTTCCTTTTTCCAAACAGCTTTACCAAATGAAGCACAATTGATATACCAAAAAAAAAAAAAAAAAAACCTGCATATTTAATGTATACAATTTCTTAACAATTGTTGATTTGATACTGAATTGTCTGAACAGGCCATTTACAAGTGTGAAATATCTTTCACCTTTATACTTATTCCAAAAAGAGACCAATGTGAGAGGAGATTATTTCTGAACACCCTAAGCATCATGAAAACCATCTAAATACTAAGACTACTAAGGTAAGCGTTTCTTTTCTTTTTTCTTTTTTTTTTTTTTTTTTTGTCATTTGAATAGAATTTTTTGTTTAATAGCCATTCTTTTCCCCTTGGCTATAAATTCAGTGAAGATAGGGATCATTCTTAGTGCCTATTGTATTTTAGTGTATATTTTTTTATTTTTTTTTTGAATGTTAACTATGTACATTAATGCACTTCTGGGGTAGGCTTTTCAATAGTATTGGTGCTCATTAAATATTGTTACTTTTCTTACATAGTAATCAGTATTCTTTTAACACTTTGTATATAGTAATTGAGTCTTTTATCCTCATTCCAGTTCTTCAAAGAGAGTTAGTAAATATCATTAACCTAATTTGACAGTTGAAAATTTGAGGCTCACAGAGAGTAAGCAATTTTTAGAACCCAGCTCTCTGATACCACACACCATGCTTTTTTGCCTGACATGCCTCCTTAATTATCAAGAGTAGTCATGAGGATTGAACAAAGTTTAAATACACTTCACATGTATAAGAGACATAAATATAAATACCAAAAGCATAAATCATCAGCTGTTTAGTCCAAGCACAAACGTGGAGAACTCTTCCTGGGACCAGCTGCTATGGATAATATAAGTCTCTATTGCTTCTTAGAGAATATTGAAAATACTTCTTCCTGAGCTTATTGGGGAGTTAAATGTTTCTCTAAATATCAATTCATACTATCTCCTATACACACTCACAAAATAAATCAAAGTCCTATGGGTATCCACAGAACTGTGGTAGATTTTTTTTTAATCAATTCTCATAACAAACTGTAAGGTGGCATTGCTATTCTCACTTTATAGGCGAGAAAACAGGATGTAAGATGCCAGGAGACATACCCCAGGTAAAAGAAATTGCAAGTGGAAAAATCATGATTCTAATGCAATATACTTCTGATCCTAAATTTATATATACTTAACCACTGTTGTAGTCATTTTCAACATTTTGCCAAAGAGACTGGGAGCTCATGATTTGGAGGGGGCTTGAGAAAAGAACTGAAACAAAGGGAGAGGCTAAGATAAAATTTCCTTCAATTAATGCAATGTCACATTTTTCTTTATATTTTGGAGTTCAAAGATGGCATTGTGTATGTGTGTGTGTACTGATGAAATTGCTCTATATGAATTTGCCTCCTAAATAGTATCAAAGTAGTTACAGTCATAAAAGTCACATCACGAGGAGATTACCAGTTAAACACTGTTTATTATAACATAACAAGATGACGGGGCAGCGCCTGTGGCTCAAAGGACTAGGGCGTCAGCCCCATATGCCAGAGGTGATAGGTTCAAACCCAGCCCCAGCCAAAAACTAAAAAAAAAAAAAAAAAAGAAATAACATAACAAGATGGGATATGGGTTTAAAATTTGGAGAGGAAAAAATTAACTAGTATAATATTACCTAATCTTGATATTAATATTACCTATGCCCTTTATTAGCTGTTTGATCTTGAACAGAATCTTTAACTTCCCTATGCTCCTATTTCTAATGTGTGATATAAGTATAAAAATGATGGTGGTAACAATTTTCCAGGTTTATAGGTGAGGATTAAATCAGTAACTGTCTGCAAAAGACATTTAGAACACACTAGTCCTCACTGTGTTTTAGTTAATATTATCATTAATATTACAACTATGAATGTTATGACGTTAATATAAGTAATTTTATAACCATTATTGTGGTACTCTAACTACTAACATTAGTCTCTGATATTGTTGTCTCATCTGAAAAATGAATGAAATAGTGCTAACCACACAGGTTGTTAAAAGTGTTGACTGGAATGCCATGTGCAAAGCACTTACTATTATACTATGCCTTGAACAAAGTAAGTAATCATTAAAAGTATATATTATTAGCTATTTATAAAGTTAATGAGATTTAGGCAGTAGCTTTATGAATTCTTTCGCTGCGGCTCTCATATTTTTTTTTTTTTTTTTTTTTTTTTTTTTTGCATTCCCATCTCAATACCCAGTTAACTTCTTATGTCAACCATTCCACATGCTCTGCTCACTGGCGTTTCTTTCTCTGGCATCCAGCCCATTGTGGAATCTCAACTCGTTTCATCCAAACTCATGAAGACCTTTACCTGACAGTTATCCCAAGATTTCTACTCCCTCAAATTCCTCTTCATCCCCCCAGTCATAGTGTCCATAGTGTCAGTAACCTACCAATGTTCCTCGTTTTCTAAAGACTGAAGAACAGGTTCTTGGCTTTACAACCATGTCCTGTACACTCATCTTTCACCTCCCTTTGGAGGTTTAGCTGCTACTGTGTGTTCAGTCTGTTACTTCAGATTAGGCTTTTGGTCCTCTCCAATGATTAAGTCTGCACAGATGATTTCTTGACTCGTGTGTTTACAAAAATTCCTCATATCTATGTTCTTAGCACAGTCTTCACCAAGGAGGTAATTTAAGTGATCTTCAAAAACAGAGAAACTTTTTGTGAAGAGGGGACAGAGTCTCACTCTGTCACCCTGGGTAGAGTGCCATGGCATCATCATAGCTCACAGCAACCTCAAACTCGTGGGCCCAAAGGGTCCTCCTGGCTCAGGCTCCTGAGTAGCTGGGACTATAGGCACCAACCACGACACCCAGTTGATTCTTTTCTATTTTTAGTAGTAAGGTGGGGGGGTATAACTCTTGCTCAGGCTGGTCTCAAAATCCTGAGCTCAAGTAATCCACCCACTTCAGCTTCCTAGAGTGCTAGGATTACAGGCATGAGCCACTGTACCCAGCTGTGACAACCTTTATTTACCAAGAAAATCTTAGAAGAATTCACAGCATAATATTTATTAGAATGAAAAAGTATAATAAATTCAAGTTTGCATTAATCAACAATTTTTTTTCAGGTAATGTAATTAACCATCACACGAAATACATGGAACATACAAACAATGTGACAGAGTTCGTTTTACTGGGGCTCACAGATAATCCAAAGATGCAGAAAATCATATTTGCTGTGTTTTTTGTCATCTACATCATCACTGTGGTAGGAAATGTGCTCATTGTGGTCACAATCACTGCCAGCCCTTCCCTGAGGTCCCCCATGTACTTTTTTCTGGCTTATCTGTCCTTTATTGATGCCTGCTATTCCTCTGTCAATACCCCTAAACTGATCACGGATTCACTCCATGAAAAGAAGACCATCCTGTTCAATGGATGTATGACTCAAGTCTTTGGAGAACATTTCTTTGGAGGTGCAGAGGGCATCTTACTTACCGTGATGGCCTATGACCGCTATGTGGCCATCTGCAAGCCCTTGCACTACACCACCATCATGAACCGGCGTGTGTGTGGCCTTCTAGTAGGAGTGGTGTGGGTGGGAGGCTTTCTTCATGCCACCATACAGATCCTCTTCATCTTCCAATTGCCCTTCTGTGGCCCGAATGTCATCGATCACTTTATGTGTGATCTGAATCCTTTGCTCAATCTTGCCTGCACTGATACCCACACTCTGGGGCTCTTCGTTGCTGCTAATAGTGGGTTCATCTGCCTGCTGAACTTCCTCCTCCTGCTGGTCTCCTATGTGGTCATCCTGCGCTCCCTAAGGACCCACACCTCAGAAGAGAGGCACAAAGCCCTCTCCACCTGTGTCTCCCACATCACTGTGGTGGTCTTATTCTTTGTGCCCTGCATATTTGTGTACATGAGACCTGCAGCCACTTTATCTATTGATAAAGCAGTTGCTATCTTCTACACTATGATAACTCCCATGTTAAACCCCTTAATCTACACCTTGAGGAATGCCCAGATGAAAAATGCCATTAGGAAACTGTGTGTTAAAAAAGTTATTTCGGGTGACAAATAAATGTGACTGGAGTCCAGGCAGAATTGATTCAATTGAGGGAAGTGTCAAAAGAATATTTTGGATAATCTCAAAGAAATGGTGCAATAAAGTCAATCTCAGTAAAAAAAAAAAAAAAGTGTAACAAATTCAAGGCTGCATTAATCAAAAATTTTTTCAGGTGATGTAATTAAACATCACATGAACTACATGGGGATAGAGAAAAAACAGCCATACCGTACCATCAATCATACCATTGATAGATTCTGCATTGATGGGAATAGAAATGATTCAAGAAAACAGGAACAAATCCAACCCCGACAACCCTGTATATTTAGGAAATTCTACCAAACTGGGGCTTAGCTTTACTAGCTTCATCTATTATGTGGATTCATAGGTTTTCTTTCTCCTTAAAAAAAAGAAAGAATAAAATATATTGGTATCAAGCAGTAACGTTGACAACACTCCAAACAGGTAAGCATGATTATATCCCCATTTCATTAGTGAGAAAAATGACAGAAAGGAGAAGTTATCAAAATAGATATATTGACAAACCAAAATATGACTAATTTCCCAGACTATACTCTCACCTGCTGTGATACTTTCCAATAGAATGATGATTTAAAGGTCAGGTAACTACACTGCTTAACATCTTGGAACCAAGGACTATGCTGGCCACATTGTGTATGTTAGTTATCAAACCAAAATATAATAATTTTATTACTAACTGCTTATTTATATGTCACAGTTGGTGAGCATTTGATTCTTGAACCATTATGCTATCTAGCTATTTAGTATGCATAAGACTAATTAACCTCTCCTGAGTAGGCAACGAAGTTTATATATGTACAATGCTTCCATTCGTTCTTGTGGGCTTTAGAACCATTTCGTATTGCTCATGCCATCCTTGTTATGACTCAAATAAAAGAACATTTGAATGCCAGGCAGAAATTTCTATTTATTAAATATACAATTAAAGTCCATAAAATATTGCCTTTTAGATAACAATAGTTAGCACAAAATAGAACAATGTCTGGGACATAATAACTATTGAATGGATGAATAAAAATGTTAAGGAAGATGAATGAATACAATAAAACAGAGAGGAAAAATTTGTACTGGAGACAAGGGAATTCTGTCTCACCCTTATCTGATTTGGGCTCTAGAGAGAATTCTAGCTGGACCTCTTGAGGAAAACAGTTTGTTTTTACTCCTACTTACACTGAAGAATAAGTAAGAAATCAAAACAAATTCTCAGCATATTAGCAAATAGTTAACCTTGAAATTCTCTCTGTCATCCCAAGATTTCATGGTCTTATAATTGTGAATTATTTCTATTTCAATGTTAATCAGTTTACTTTCTGTAACAGTTCATTATTAAAAATTGTTTTTTAAAACCTGTGACTGCATGTATGCACGAAGCTATTTCAGAATAAAGATATTCTAGTCATTCCTTCTATGTCTTATTGATTGATCAACAACTATTTTAAACCCAAAGAAAGAGTCAAGCACATTTATAATTTCTGGAGCTTCAGGGATCAAGAAAGAGAAAGCCAGGTCCTGCCTTCACAGAGCTCAGGCTCCACCGAGAGACTCTCAGAAGAGGATAGAAAATTACAACACAGTGTAAGATAATGGATGCACAAGGTGTTATGAGAGCATGCTGGAGGGATCCATAACAAGGCTCTGAGGGTCAGGATACCAAAAATGGGACGCAAAGGATGAAAAGGAGTCAGCAGAATGTATAGGCATGAGGCTAAGGGAAGAGGACTCCCAGGAGAGAGGGCTACAGAACAAAGGCCAGGAGGTGAAAGAGAGGCAGGAAACCCAGTCAGTGCAATGTGGCCATGGTTACCAATTCGTCTACTCATTCAACAATTGTGTATTGAATCCCCTCCCCCACTGAGTGCCAAGTGCCACCTTGGACACTGAGCTTGTCAAAGCTTGTAAATAGTAAGACTTGAGGCTGGAGAGACAAAACGGGGAAGATCAGGAAAGGTCTTAGAACTGTGTTAAGGCTTAATGCTAAGGACCGTGGGGGAAAGAGACATTGCAAGTACGGTCGAACCTCCCTAGTTTAGCACTTCCCTGTACTGACCACCTCCTTAAGCAGACCTCCTCTTCATAGGCTGGACATGCACATGTACATACCACTACAGCAGTAAGCTTAATTCCTTACGTTGACCACTTCCATACGTCGACCAGTTTGTTACAGTCCCTTGGGTAGTTTACTTACAGAGGTTCTACTATATTTCTAAGCCAGTGAGTGATGTGGTTAAATCTGAATTTTATAGTCTGGAAAATGAAATATAAAGGGTCAAGGCTAGAAGCAGAAGGATGGCTTGGAAGTTTTTGTAATGATTCAGGTATGAAAGGCTGGAGGCCTGATCCCTGGTGCTGCCAGTGAGGAGGCAAAGTGTGATGGACATTATTGTGTCCAGCTCAAATCCCTTTTACCGGGCTAGTGCACCCATGACCCAGCTGCTGTGAGTCTGGGCTACTAACAGCTTAGAGTCCTGCCCTTTTCTGGACCACTGCACTAGAGAAAGTGGGAAAGACTTTATTTGAAGGATTTTATCCACCATCACAGTTCCTGCCAGCTATCAGTGACTGACTGGAACGGGGTTTAAGAGGTGGCTCCTTTGCCTCAAGGTGGAACCAGTTCTGTAATACAATGTTCACCTATGGCTCTGAAGCCAGACTCTAGTTGAGACCACATCCTTCCTTCCCTCTATCATAATCGATTTTTCTCAACTCCTTCTCCTTACAAATCATGTTCATAAGAATTCTCATCTCAGCCTCCACATCTAAGGAACTCAAGGTTTCTAAGCATATTTATGAATTACAAATGAAATAACTTGATATAGGATGAATACCAAAGAGAGGGCAGTCACAGATGAAACCCAGGCCCTGGCTTAGATTACCAGATGGAGGGAACAGAGAGAAGATTAGTATGATTTCGAATATGTTGAGTCATGTTCATGTCACAGTGAGTATTGAATACATGGAACCTATCCTCAGAAACAAGATCTGGGGGGCAAGTCATAAAGGCAGAACAGTGGCTGCCGGGGGCGGGGGGGCTGGGGATGGGAGCATCAGGGGGATGTTGGTCACTAAGTTTACTTAGACAAGATGAGAAATTTCTAGGGATCTACTGTACAGCACGTTGACTCCAACTAATATTATACATACTTGAAACTTGCTAAGAGGGTAGATCTTACGAACATAAAATGGTAGCTTGTGAGATGATGGGTATGCTAAATACCTTAATTGTGGTAATGGTTCTACAATGTATGCCTTATCAAAACATCCTGCTGCACACTTTAAATACATATAATTTTTATTTGTCATTATCCCTTAATAAATCTAAAAACTATGAAAGTCAAGTTTTATGGTGCAATGACTTTAGAGTATGTATTTGGATTTCTATCATAAAGACATCAATGTTTGTGATCAATATCTTCTTAAATACAAACCGTTTGTGAAAAGCATAAATTAAGTTGGTGGCAATTATTAGCACGAAGTTGAAGTACAAAATCACACAGGACTGAGCTGGAGGTGGAAGTATGGTGGTCTGCGGAACAGAGATACAAAGGGGAGTAGAGAGGGAGAAAACACTGGTAAAATAGGATTTGTATCTCTTTTTATGAAAATTAAAGTTGTCCTATAATATGAGGAAACAGAATTACATGAAACAAAAGTTCAACTTGGCCAGGCATGGTGGCTCATGCCTGTAATCTAGCACTCTGGGAGGCCGAGGCCAAATGATCACTTTGAGGTCAGTGGTTCAAGAGCAGCCTGAGCAAGAGCAAGACCCCATCTCTACTAAAAACAGAAAAATTAGCCAGAGTCAGTGGCATGAACCTGTGGTCCCAGCTACTTAGAAGGCAGAGGCTGCTGACTTCTTTTTTTTTTTTTTTTTTTTTTTGAGACAGGCTCACAAAACTTGTAAGTAAAACTGAAGGCCA